AAAAAAAAAAAAAAAAAAAAAAGATGGGGATGGTAGTAGTTATAGGGCAAGGCCATTAAATATTTTTCAGTCATTAGTATTCTGAAAAAATTGAAAAGATTTATTATAATCTTGAGCTGTAATATTTTACTTCTCTAAAGTTATGAAAGAAAACATATTTGATTTATACAGTAAAACCTAAACCATCAGAATATTATTGCTCATGACTGACTTCTCAATGGATTCCATTTATAATGACTCACCCATTTTATTTTGACCATTGTATCATTTTCTCAGGAAATGAGGAAATTAAATGAAAGTAATTTCCCATAAAAAAACTAAGAACTCTAATATATAGTGTTTAAATCTGGCTTTCTTTTTGTATAACAGTTATTATTTTATTTTTGAATTTCACAGATAACTTGGAGGAGAGATAGAACTTATGTAGCCGTCTCTCAAATTTCATGTTTTTGAAATTTTATTGAAAATAAATTATAATCTGTAGATACACAAAATAGTTTTTAAAATTAGATGGTTTGCTAAATGCTGCTGATGTATAGGAGCAACTGGCACTTTCATATATTGCTGGTGGGAATGCAGAATGGTCCAGCTGTTCTGGAAGACAATTTGGCAGATTCTTAAAATGTTAAAACATATGTTTACCATATGACTCAGCAGTCCCACTTCAGGAATATTTATACTGCAGAAATGAAACTTATATTCACACAAAAACCTTTATACAAATGTTCATAACAGCTTTATTTGTGATAGCCAAAAGCTCGAAACAACCTAAATGTCCTTCAGCTGGTGAATAAACTGGGGTACAATGTATACAATCTAATACTACTCAGTGGTAAAATGAGCAAGTTGTTGATACATGCAACAACTTGGATGAATTTCAAAAACATTTCTGAGTGAGACAAGCCAGTCCCCGATGGTTACATTCTGTATAATTCCATTTATCTGACACACGGAGATAGTACAAGGGTCTTTTTTGTGGTGATAGAACTGTTCTATATCCTGATTATGGTGGTGGATACCTGAATCTGTACATAATGTTCAAATTTATAGATCTGTATACCACAAGAAAAAAAATTACATTTACTGTATGATAATTGAAAAAAAGATAGTTATATCTCACTTTATTGTGCTTGACAGATAATGTGGCTTTTACAGATTAGAAGTTTGTGGCAATCTTGTGTTTAACAAGTCTTTTGGCACCATTTTTCCAACAGCGTGTGCTCACTTTGTGTCTCTGTCACATTTTTGTAATTCTTGTAATATTTCAAATTTTTTCATTATTATGTCTTTTATGGTGATCTCTGATCAATGATCTTCGATGTTAATATTGAGATTGTTTTGGAGTGCTACAAATGGCACCTACATAAGGTGGCAAACAAATGATAATTGTTGTTTGTGTTCTGAGTGCTCCACAGACTGGCTGTTCCCCATCTTTCTCCCTCTCTTGGGGCTTCTCTGTTCCCTGAGACACAACAATATTGAAATTAGGCCAGTTAATAACCTTACAGTGGCCTGTAAGTGTTCCAGTGAAAGGAACAATCTCACATCTCTCACTTTAAATCAAAAGCTAGAAATGATTAAGCCTAGTGAGGAAGACATGTCGAAAGCCAAAATAGGCTGTGAAAGCTTGGACTCTTGTGCCAAACAGCCATGTTGTGAATACAAGGGAAATTTTTGTGAAGGAAATTGAAAGTGCTACTCCAGTGAACACATGAATGATAAGAAAACTAAACAACCTTATTTCATGATATCAGCTCCCATTTTGTTTTATTTTGTAAAAATCATCTTTATTCATTTTGGTATTGGCTTATTTGGGTTTTTC